CAGAATTATTTCAGGGAAAATAAGCTGCTTTCTGGTGCCACGGGACTTGTTGCGGTTGGCTTCTAAGGCTTCTCGCAACCAAGCATGGGATGTTTTTTTATTTTATTTCCCCCGCTTACACAACAAAACAACCCCACGAGATGGCGCTTGTCCTTGGGCATTCCCAAACCTTTCCACACCACCGACAGGGGAGGGAGTTTAGAAGAAGAAAAAATTAAACACCCCCGGGCTGGTTTGTGCTAGCAACCAGAGCGTGGCGCGGCGCCTGCTGGGAAATGGAGTTTTTGGAAGCGGCGAGATGCCTGCTTTGCTTGGAGAAGGCGAACTACAATTCCCGGAAGCCTTTGCGCCCTCAGGCGGTCATAGGGACGCCCAAAAGACCCAGGGAAAGGGGTGTGTGGGTGCGTGTGCATGTACTGGTTGCTTTTTGAGCTTGCTGCAAAGGAAGGAACAGGAAGCTCAAAAGAGGGGGGGCGGGGAGGAGGAGCAGCAGCAGCAGAGGCAGAGGCTGCCGGACTCAAGAGAGAACTGCTTAACAGCTTTGGGGGGAGAGAGCAGCTCCGAGAAGAGAGTGGATCAGGCGCTGCCTCGGGAGAGAAACTTTGCAGTAAGTTTGGATTCCGGGGGAGAGGGATCTGCAGGGCTGCTTGGAGCTCGGAGGGGAGGGAGGGAGTTGCCAGATGACCACAGATAAACAACCTGCCGTGGCTCCTGTGCTCTTAAGAGCCTCCCTTGAAACAACCAGAGCGGCAGCTGCGAGGGCTTGGCGTGCCAGATCCGCGACAGATCCCAGCCGCAGCCCTTCCTGGCAGATGGACAAAGGGAGCCTAAAATGTGGGCTTTTGCGCGCGGCTTCCCTGCAAAACGGGCACAGGTGCGGGAGGCCGGTGCATAAGTTGGCAACTCCTCTCGGGTGGCAGGGAGCTACTAGGGGCGTATTGTGGGGCTCCCTTGTATTTCCTCTGCCTTCCAACCCGGCTGCAAATGTTTAAAGGTGCTCAGTGGGTGGAGGACTGGCTTAAAGCTATTTCCAAGGGTTGGTTAGGCGAGGAAGGGTCTTTTAGAGGAAAGGGATTAGGTGACCCAAATATCTACCTATCTATCTATCTTTTGCTTTGGAGGGATTTTATTGGCAGAGTTTGCTAAACAGGACAGCTGGGTTCCCCAATCCAAGCAGAACCTGCAAGGCTTAAAAAATAAGAAAATATTGGTGGCTATTGATGGGATGTTTGGCCAGCAGAAGGGGGTAAGATGAGGTTTAATCAGGACATTTCTTGAGCATGGATAGCCAGGGTCAGGAATCTCCTCTTGCTGTGGGCTGAGAAGGATCTCTGCATGATTTTTCCCCTCTCCAGAATTTAGAAGAAGAAGAAATCCTCCCAGAGTGGGGCTGGCAATCTGCCTTCAAACTGAGACATGGGTTGTACAGACCTTTAACTTGGTACCATAGTTATTTACACTTTTTTCCTGTGGATTTGCTGCTGTTTCCACCCGCTTTGTGCCTCATTGGTATGGGAGATTTATACCAGAAAAGGTTAAGATGCTGTTGGTACCTGTTGATTGTGTGGGACATCCGTGTGGTTTTGGAAAGAAGCTGGGGTTTTCTCTCTCCTTCCCAGAGTGGAGGAGAATGTTGAGGATGCCTGGGCAACCCTTAGAGAGCAGTCCTAACAAATATCTACTTGGATTTAAGTCCCATTGAATTCAGTGGGACTTTACTCCCAGGCTAAGTGGGCTTAGGATTGCAGCTTTATGGGATAATCATAAATTGATGCTATTCCGCGGATGACATCTACCAGCATCTCTGTGTGTCTCTCTTTAACTATATGTTTATTTAAAAGCGTTTATAAGCCGCTTAAATATAACCCCCCCCCCCCAAGCAACCTGAAAGCAATAAGAAATACGATCAAAGCAAAAAACAAAGCATGAAACCAGTAAAGCAGTAATGAAATGGGACTTCAGGGCCAACATATTAAAATGTACTTAAATTTATTTTTTAAATGCATGCATATAAAATTTCTAGTTGGTTGGCTTTGTGATGCTTGCTTTGTTTTTTTCCACCTTCCCAAAATATTCATAATTGTTATTTCAGTTATGAATCACTTTTCATGAAACACCCCAAAGTAATGAACAAAGTGTGTGTTGGATGGGGTGGGGAAGGAAATCAACAATATAAAGATGCAGGGTTGTAGTCCTACACAGAGTAGACCCATCAAAATTAATGAATCTAAGTTAGCCATGACTCTTAACCCCAGTGGGTCTCCTCTGAGTAGGGCTAGCATTGGATACCACTGATTATATATATATATATATATATATATGTATGTATATATGTATATATGTATAAAAAATCAGTTTCAAATCTGGTATGAATAAAAAATGGATAAAATAAAATACGTCCACTTAAAAAGTTGTTGGAAAATGAAATTTTAGTGCATGTTGCTGTTCTTGTACATTCCTTTTAACGCATCTTAGGTTTTTTCAGTGGAGAAGGTACTATAATTTTTTTAAAAAATAATTGGGAATAATTATAATTCCTGGTTCTATATTACCTGGTACTTTTTGCAGAGTGAAATAAGAGGGGGGGTCCTTGCCATAATTTAGTCCTACTCAGAGTAGACCTCTTGAAGTTCATGGACAGAGCAGAATTTGGGCCATTGAATTCAGCCTGGTTGCTGTGAGCGAAATGTGGCTGGATGCGACCCCCAAGGGCCTTACAATCTTAAGTATTAGATGGAGGAGTGCAGGGAATGGCTTGCAGGGTGTGTGTGTGTAAGGGAGAAATGAAGGTGACAGATGACTTTTCGGAGAGAGTGAAGATGCGAGCTGCTTTTTTCTGCCAGGCCAGGCTTCTTCCATCCAACCTGGGATTTCTCTCTCTGAGTTGGAAAGGCTGTTTGGGGTCCTTTGGCAGGGATAGATCTGCTTCATCCCCTGTTCTCGGTCCCTTTAACAGGTCAGGGATTGAATCTTGGGACTTGCTTCTTTCAACAATCCTTCTCAGCGGAGATTTTTCACCCCAGTCAGTATCTGAATTTATTCAAAATAGTTATTTGTGTGTGTGTATGTGTATGTGCATGGGCAAGGGTGGTGCTGTGGGTTAAACCACAGAGCCTAGGGCTTGCTGATCAGAAGGTTGGCGGTTCGAATCCCCGTGACGGGGTGAGCTCCCGTTGCTCGGTCCCTGCTCCTGCCAACCTAGCAGTTTGAAAGCACGTCAAAGTGCAAGCAGATAAATAGGTACCACTCCAACGGGAAGGTAAATGGTGTTTCTGTGCGCTGCTCTGGTTCGCCAGAAGCGGCTTAGTCATGCTGGCCACATGACCCGGAAGCTGTACGCCGGCTCCCTCGGCCAATAAAGCGAGATGAGCACCGCAACCCCAGAGTCGTCCGCTACTGGACCTAATGGCCAGGGGTACCTTTACCTATGTGCATGGGCATGCACACACAATTGTGTGAACTTTTATTTTTGGTTACTGCTGTAGAGAGAGAAAATCTGTACCTGCTGCTTTGCAACACATTTTTGGAAAAAGAAAAGGCTTAGGAGTGAACCCTACACAAATCCAGAGTGGAGTCACTAAGACTGGCACTTTGTATGCCTACTTTCGGCAACTCCTGCAGCCAAGCGGGTGCCAAACGTCTTGCTCTGCTTTCCTTTGGACCACATCAGCAAGGCCAAGAAGGGAGTCCTGTTGTTTGGGCAGCCCAGGACCTCCATGCAATGCATACTGCCCAGGTTTGTGCCCTGGGGAGGTCACCTCAGTGCTACTAACACAGCGGTTTGACTTCACCCCCAGAGGCGCACTCCATTGTCTCTTGAGACAGGCAGAGGCCAAAAACAAGCCAATTGTTTTGTATATAGTTTTTAATGTTTTGTGAAAAATCTCTTTGAGCAGAGGTCACAAAAACGGTGGATCACCAGCTTTGCCTGCAGAGGGTCCCAGGTTTAATCCCCCAGGGCATCGCCAGGTTGGGCTGAAATCCTGCGGATCTTCTGTCCATCCCTGCGGACCTGGGATTGATAACCCTCAGGTCTGGACCCCAACTGCGGCCCTCCAGGTCTATTCTGTGGTCTCCGGAACTCTCCACGCCCTCTTTGAGTGTTTTTGTCTGGCCGGAATGGGTCCTTGAACTCTGCGCATGCCTCATGGCTTGCCTACATGGAGGACAGGAAGGGGTGTGTGTGTGTGTGTGTGTGTGTGTGTGTGTGTGTGGAAGCCAGCCTTCTGAACAAAGCGGGCATTTACGTTCATTGCTTCACCTGCTCTCGCCTTCCTCACACCACTAGCATCTGGCCCCTGGAAGCCTTCTCAGAAGTTAACGCGGCCCCTGTGCTGCAGAAAGTTTCCCTGTCCCCAGAGTTGACAGCGGGGAACTTAGATGGCCCCGAAAGAACAAACAGTGGTTTGTCTTTCCTTCTGAGAGTTTCCTCAAAGCCACCTTGCCTCCTTCCGAAATATTCCGGGCAGCCAGTCGTTGGGAATAAACGCTTTCTGTACAGTTGGGTGCTCACTCGCCAGTCAGTGTCGCTAAACCCCAATCCTTTTTCTCTCCTTTTTGTTTACACACACACACACACACACACACACACACACACACAGGATCTCTGTGTTGAGACAGTTCGCTACTCAGTTCGTTCTGCTTCCTGGCAGTTGTTGCCCTGTGGGCCTGAGACCATCAGGGCGGATTAGGCTTAACTCCCGCTGATCTGCTCTTGCTTCAGGAGAAGGGCCCGGTCCTTGCGAATCCGGGAGGAACATAGGCTGCCCTGACCTCGTGTCTGAATGCGGCCCTCTGGGGATATCTGTCTGGCCCTCAGGACCCTCCCCAGGCCCCGCTCCTCACAGTCCTTCACTCCCACCCATCTCAAGCAGTGTTGCCTGGCTGGAAAGTATTCTAGAAAAATGGGGGGCGATCGGCTGTTGTTTACTTCCTGGGCCCAGGAGCAACCGTAGCACAACCTTCATAGAACCTGTTGTTGTTGTTGTTAATTCAATTTTCCGTATATACCGTCCTTTATCGAAAGACCTGAGGGCGTTGGATAACATTAAGGACACATTACAAAGCATCAATGAGAAAAGCGTAATAGAAACAGTAAAAAGCATGGTGACAGACAGCCTAATAGTAGAATAATCATCATACTAACAGCGCTCTTTTGCAGGCCATAGATTATTTAATAGTCATTAGCCTGGGTGAAGAGGAATGTTTTTGCCTGGAGTCCAAAGACATGTAATGATGGCGCCAGGTGAGCCTCCCTGGGGAGAGCATTCCACAATCGGGGAGCCACCACAGAAAAGGCCCATTCTCGCATTGCTGCCCTCCAAACTTCTCGGGGAAAGGGGACACAGAGAAGGGCCGCAGATGACAAGCACAGGGCCTGGGTCCGTTTGTGTGGGGAGAAGCTGTCCTTAAGGTATCAAGGTCCTGAGGCGTGTTAAGTCCCAGTCTCTTCCTTAGCTCCATCTTAAATCCATGGACTAAATGCAGGTTTCGATATCAAGCCAGCTTCTCCTCTGCTCCCCTTAACTTCCAGCCTGATGTGGAACTGTGGTGAACTCAAAAGTTTTCTTGCAAGTTCATAGCATTGTGGTTGATCCTTAAATGCTCACCTATGGATTTTGGTTTTTAAATTCTTTTAAAATGCTTTATTGTTCATTTTCCATATATATATATACAACACATAATTATCTTCATTTCAATCAGTCCAATAAGAATGTCCATGTTCACAAAAAATGCATACAAATTCAATTACGCATTTTCTACACAAACCTATGACTTCCCATCCTCTCCATATTCCTTTTATAATAAACATCTTACTTTAATTCATCATTATTTTGTAAAAATTCTCTTTTTCTATTTCGATATCATTTTGTTTCATACACATTATTTACAGAAATCATTCAAAGGCAACTACAGTGCTTAGATTACAACTACTTTTCAAATAAATCTTGAAATTATTCCATTCTAAAATGAACTTTTGGGGTTTTCTAATCAACCAATGTGATTTCTGTGGCTTCTCCCAACCCCCTCCGCCTGCCACCTGTTACTTGAGATCCTTTAACTTGTGATGGGTTACCTTTCCCAGATCACATTCCCTTCTGGGAAACCTTCAAAGGGCTACATGCCAGTGGCAGGGGCTGGAATTAAAAATGGGCAGAGGAATGAATTTCCATTTTACCTTTGCCAATGGGACTATTTTACACACACACACCACCTCTCTAGCCTCTCTCCAGGCAAGCAGGAAGCATGCTCAGAGTTTAAGGACACGTTCCAGTCAGGCAAAAATGCTCAAGGAGATTGTGAAGCAGGGCTGGTGAGGAGAGAGAGTTTGGAGGGGTAGAAGATAGACAGACCTAGAGGGCTACATTTCTGGGCTTCAAGTTCCCCATCCCTTCTGTAACTGGACACACTGCCGCTGAATCTGGGACCTTCTCTGTGTACCATAAGTTCTCTACCCATTTTATGGAGACCTTTCCTGGGTGGTGTCAGAAGCTCAGATATATCAGCTAGGCGCCAAGTATCTTCTTAAACCAATGTGGTGACTGCTCCTGCTCAGGCTGCACAGAGAAAAGCATTTTGGTTTTCATTCCTATGGTGCAGATAAAATATAACTGGTAGAATTCTACAGAATGGGGTATTAGTGTGTGAAAGCAGTCAAAATCCAAGGATCCCCAGGCATGCACCTCCAGATGGTGGAAATGCCAGGCTCCATTCAGGCACTCAGGCATCTTTGCTTGGTTGTAAGTGGTCGAAAGCCAGGTGCAAAATTTGCCTGGCTAATTTTGAACACTGTTCGTGGGAGCCGATATTTTTCACACGCTGCTGGCTGAGTTGCCTCTTCCTTGACCCTATCCTTCGTTTGTTGTGTCAGGTGCTATAGAGAGAGGAAGTACCTTATCTGAGTGGCTGAGCATCCTTGAAAGTTGCGGTTTATGATCTGAAGGCCCTTTTGCATCAGTTGCTAACCCAGTCTTAGATATTAAGCCCTCTCCTTTTAGGAAAATGTTGTTGTTTAGTCATTTAGTCTTGTCAGACTCTTTTGTGACCCCATGGACCAGAGCACGCCAGGCACTCCTGTCTTCCACTGCCTCCCACGGTTTGGTCAAATGCATGCTGGTAGCTTCGAGAACACTGTCCAACCATCTCGTCCTCTGTCGTCCCCTTCTCCTTGTGCCCTCCATCTTTCCCAACATCAGGGTCTTTTCCAGGGACTCTTCTCTTCTCATGAGGTAGCCAGAGTATTGGAGCCTCAGCTTCAGGATCTGTCCTTCCAGTGAGCACTCAGGGCTGATTTCCTTAAGAATGGATAGGTTTGATCTTCTTGCAGTCCGTGGGACTCTCAAGAGTCTCCTCCAGCACCATAATTCAAAAGCATCAATTCTTTGGTGATCAGCCTTCTTTATGGTCCAGCTCTCCCTTCCTTACATCACTATTTAGGAAAATAGGAAGCTGCCTTTTCCCTTTGGTCTGTCTATCTACTAGCACCTACCCAGTCAGTAGCTGTCCAGGATTTCAGACTTGGGGGACGTTCACAGCCTTACCTGGAGATTGAACATGAGATCTTCTGCATGCAAAGTTAACACTCTAACAACCGAGCGACAACTCTTCCCCATAGATGATAAGGAATTGCAAGCAGTGGGCTGGTAGAGCAGTGACAGAGTGTTCCATCCTGCGTCTGATCATGCTGGTAAAAGATGATTGCAGGCTACTTACTTACCGCCTTATTTACAAGGCTGTTTTCCCATTCATTTATTACAACCGCTGCCACCAACCCATACTTTTTAAAGCAAAGCAAAAAACGTGACCCTTCTCCCCAAAGTTTACAGCTGCTACAGCTTCTCTGTACATTCGTAGAGGTGCAGAAAGTATGTTGGATGGGGGTCTGGCTTTGGTCAGTTGTCCAGCAAGGTTGATTTGGTGTGACGGGGAGCATGGAGCTCAAGGTGGACTACATGGTTCTCTCCCCAACCGCACTCCGTTTTAAAATCCTCACAACAATCTTGCAAGGTAGTTTGGGCTGAGAAAGATGGTGAGTGGCGGCCAAGGTCACCCATTGAGCTTCATGACCGAGTGTCGATTTGAACCTCAGTCTCTCAGGTCCTGGTCCTTCACTCTTAACCACTATACTTTGCTGGACTTGAAATTTGCTTTAATGGGTTGCAAGAATTAATGGTTTGGTGTTTTCATCAAGGACATGCCTTTGTCACAGAAGTGTGTGGAGTAGATGTGTTTGCTCTTGGTTTCCCTGCTTTTTCCTAAGGGAGACTTTTGCCCTTTACTTTGTTTTCTTGAGGTCCGGGCTCATGAGACGCCTTCGTAACAAAACAATTATGAAGTTTGGTGCTGATGCTGCAAAATGTTAATCCTGGGGGCACGGTGCATTTTTCACTGTGAACCTGGCTGGGTCGTCTTTGAGGCACCGTGTTGGATAGGGTCCCTTTGCGAGCAAAGCACAGTGGATCAAGAAGTTATTAAATCGCCAAATCAGTGTTTTAAGGAGTCAAATGCGCTGACATGTTTAAAAGAGGGTGGGGGGGAGAGAGGCCTTCTCTTTGTCTCTCCCTCTCCCTTGTTAAAAGAATGCATTCATATCCCAAAGCAAAAGTTCAGGGCTTGACAAAAGCTTTGTCACTGATTTGACTTCCTTCCAAAAGCTCTGATGCTTGACCTAAAACGATATTGATCCCTTCTGCTTGTTTTGACGGTGTCAGCTGCTGAGCATATGACAGCCAGGGTGGAAGCACAGGAGCCGGGGTACTGCTGTCCACAGTCCAGCTCCCTGCAATTATTGACTTTGATTTGTAAAAAGAACCAAGTTCCTAGCCCGTATGATGGCAAAGATGAGCTTGAAAAGTGGGTGATCAGAGAAGACTTCATCTGCTTGCTGGTGGCAGAAGCTTAGGTGGTTTGCGTGACTCTGTGCACAAGGAGAATAAAGAATGCAAGCTAGCAAAAATGAAAGCAGAAAGAGACTTTCCAACCTTAAAGGATTGGGAGTTTGGGGCAGCTGTGATAGCTCTGTTTTACAGGGCCCAGGTAGTGAGCTGGTGGCTTTTGAAATTCCAGAGGTGGGTACCAAGAGGAAACAACCACACCCCAGCTTTCTCTTTTATCTGGAATATTCTTCTGATTACCCAGGGGATGACTTCCCTCCTCCCCCGCCCCCCAACTTGCCACAGGCGACCAGGCCAGTGGCTAATTGCAAGGCTGGGTGGCAAAGCCAAGAACGGGAGGTGGGGAATGTTGTGCCACCACATTACCCGCCTGATCTTGTCGCCATAGCCTGAGTTGGTGCAGACCACTGGCCACATTCCCTTCTAGGGACCGCATGCTTGTAGTGGGTGGGGCCAGAGACAAAAGTGGGTGGGGCAGCAAATGTCAATTTTACAGTAGTTTCCTCACATGCACCTCTGTCCTGCATCCAGGCAGGCAAGAAGGATTATGAGAATGCAAGGACACATTCTAGCCAATCAAAAACATCGCAGTGAGGGAGTGTGGCCTGAAGAGAATCCTGAGGGCCGGACAGAGGGCTGCAGGGGCACATTCAGCCTCTGGGCCTGAGGTTCCCCATCCTTCCTGTGTATATGCAGAGATGTGCTTATCTTGTTTTCTGCTGCTCCAGAGGGTAGGAACCAGACCAATCAATACGAATTACAAGAAAGGAGATTCCAGCTAACCATTAGGAGTACTTTTCTTGACCGTAAGAGCTGTTCGGCTGTGGAATGGACTCCCTCCGAAGGCTGTAGACTCTCCCTCATTGGAGGTTTTCCAACAGTCTTTAGCTGTAATTCCTGTACAGTGGTACCTTGGGTTAAGTACTTAATTCGTTCCGGAGGTCCATTCTTAACCTGAAACTGTTCTTAACCTGAAGCACCACTTTAGCTAATGGGGCCTCCTGCTGCTGCCGCGCCGCCGGAGCACGATTTCTGTTCTCCTCCTGAAGCAAAGTTCTTAACCTGAGGTACTATTTCTGGGTTAGCGGAGTCTGTAATCTGAAGCGTATGTAACCCGAGGTACCACTGTATTGCCGTGGGTTGGACATGATGACCCTTGGGGTCCCTTCCAACTCCACAGTTCTGTGGGTTTTTAATCTGCACAGCGTCACTTCACAATGCAAGGCATGCTTGTTGATGGGAGGGAGTGATGCTCAATGAGTGTACTTAAAAGGTGGTGGTGTTGCCAGGACAGGGGTACCCAGAAGTGATCAGCTTTCCTTATTCAGCTGTACAAAAAGAATCCAAAAGCAGCTAGATCACAAGACTGGTTGGCAATAATAATAATAATAATAATAATTTTTTATTTATACCCCGCCCTCCCCAGCCAAGGCCGGGCTCAGAGCGGCTTACAAGCAATAATAAAAACAAGATGAATGATTACAACTTAAAAACAAAAATAAAATACAACATTAAAATAATGGAACATTAAAATATTAAAATGTAGCCTCATCGCAGGAGGAGAAGGAAAAGAAAAAGGAAAGAGAGGGAGGGAGGGAATCAAATTGGCTCCAAGCCAAAGGCCAGGTGGAACAACTCTGTCTTACAGGCCCTGCGGAAAGAAATCAGATCCTGTAGGGCCCTGGTCTCATGAGGCAGAGCGTTCCACCAGGCCGGAGCCAGAGTTGAAAAGGCCCTGGCTCTGGTTGAAGCCAGTCTAACTTCCTTAGGGCCTGGGACCACTAGGGTGTTGTTATTTATGGACCTTGAGGCTCTCCGTGGGGCATACCAGGAGAGGCGGTCCCGTAGGAACGAGGGTCCTAGGCCGTTAAGGGCTTTAAAGGTCAAAAGCAGCACCTTAAATCTGACCCTGTACTCCACCGGGAGCCAGTGCAGCTTGAAAAGCACTGGGTGAATATGCTCCCATGGCAGAGACCCCGTGAGGAGCCTCGCTGCAGCATTCTGTACCCGCTGGAGTTTCTGGGACAGCTTCAAGGGCAGCCCTGCGTAGAGCGAATTACAGTAGTCAAGCCTGGAGATGACCGTCGCATGGATCACTGTGGCCAGGTCGGGGCGGGAAAGGTAAGGGACCAACTGCTTGATGCGGCGAAGGTGGAAAAATGTCGCCTTGGCTGTTGCTGTAACTTGCGCCTCCATGGAAAGGGAGGCGTCAAGGATTACACCCAAACTCTTAACGGAAGGCAATGGCACTAATTGGGCCCCCCGCAAGAGAAGGGAGTTGGTCCCTCATCTCCATGCCATCCTGACCTAGCCATAGGACCTCTGTCTTTGAAGGATTTAGTTTCAATTGGCTCCCACGAAACCATCCAGCTACAGCTTCCAAGCACCTGGTCAGTGTGTTCGGGGCCGAGTCGGTGTGGCCATCCATCAGCAGATAGAGCTGAGTGTCATCAGCATATTGGTGACAGCCCAGCCCAAAGCTCCAGATAATCTGGGCAAGGGGGCGCATAAAGATGTTAAAAAGCATCGGGGAGAGAATTGCGCCCTGCGGCACTCCACACACCAAGGAGTGGCGTGACGACATTTCCCTCCCTAGTGCCACCCTCTGTCCCCGACCAGAGATAAAAGAGCACAACCAGTTACGGGCTATGCCCTGTATCCCCACGTCTGCGAGGCGGTGGTCCAGAAGATCATGATCGACCATGTCAAAGGCTGCTGACAAATCTAAAAGGATCAGCAGTCCTGACCCGCCTCGATCCAGTTGTCTACGGAGATCATCTGTTAGGGCAACCAGAGCCGTCTCCGTCCCAAAATCAGGACGGAAACCGGACTGAAATGGATCTAATGCCGATGTTTCCTCCAGAAACCTACCAAGCTGTTCAGCAACCGCTCTCTCAATTACCTTACCCAGGTATGGAAGATTTGAAACTGGGCGGTAATTGGATAGGTCTAAGGGATCTGATGAAGTTTTCTTTAAGAGTGGACATACCACTGCTTCCTTCAGTTCCCCTGGGAATGTCCCCGTGTCAAGGGACAAATTGATAATTTCAACCAGGGGGGTCCGCGCAACATCTGGACACTCCCTAATCAGCCAAGATGGGCACGGATCAAGGAGGCAGGTGGTGGGCCTACCAACTTGGAGGAATCTATCCACATCAGTAGGGAGTATTCGATCGAAATGGTCCAACACTGGACCTGAAGTCAGTCGAGGGGCCTCCAGTTCAGTCCCTGTATCTAAATTGGCAGGGAGGTCACGGCGGAGCAACAGGACTTTCTCCGCAAAAAAGCTCACGAATGCCTCACAGCTGTGGGTCGAATTTGTGCTTAAATTTGGTTGTCCTCCTAAGGACGTTATTGACCTAATTATTCTAAAAAGTTGTGCCGGGCGAGAGCTAGCGGATGCAATGGAAGCTGCAAAGTAAGATTTCTTAGCAGCTTTCATAGCCATCTCATAGGCTTTCATAAGCGTCCTATAAGATGTTCTTGAGGCTCCGTCATGAGTCCGTCGCCATACTCGCTCTAGCCGTCTGAGATCCCGCTTCATTTTCCGGAGCTCCTCAGTAAACCAAGGGGCCCGGTTTCGACGGGGTCGCAGAGGGCGCTTAGGCGCGATCTCATCAATGGCTGCCAAGAGCCGGTTATTCCAGTCCTCAACAAGGTCATCTAATGAGTCGCCAGGAGGAGCAGGGTTCCGCAAGGCTTGTCGGAATCTATCAGGATCCATCAGTTTTCGCGGACGAGCCCAAATAGGTTCGCCACCCGAGCCGGGGAGGAGCGGGAAGTCAATCTTGGCTTTCAGAGAGTAGTGATCAGACCATGGCACTTCCACAGCGGGGAGCATGATCACATCTATGCCAGCCCCAAAGATCAGATCCAGCGTGTGGCCTGCTTGATGAGTGGGGCCCAAAACAAACTGGGAGAGCCCTAGTGTTGCCATGGAAGTCACTAGGTCCAGAGCCTGTAAGGGAAGCACCCATCTTGGCTGTGAGTCCTGGAAGGCCTTTCCCCACTTGGCCTGGGGGGGGGGGGTAGCCTGGACTGACTCCAGCTGCAAAAGCTGAGGTTGCTGAACAGACTTTTGGGCTGGGGAGTTGCTGTTGGTTTTTTGTATCATCATTTTAAATCCTGTTATGATTTATGTGGAAATTGTTCGGTTTGGTTATATATTTTTAATGTTTTGCTTACTGTTTATGACTACAGTGGTCGCTCGGGTTGCGAACGTGATCCATGCAGGAAGGATGTTTGCAACCCGCAGCGCTGTGTCTGCGCACGCGCAGGTCACTTTTTGGCACTTCTGCGCATGCGCAAGCGTCGAAACCCAGAAGTAACCCATTCCAGTACTTCCGGGTTCGGCACGGTGCGCAACCCGAAATCGCGCAACCCGAAGTGTCTGTAACTCGAGGTATGACTGTACTTTTGTTGTAGTTATGTAGGGTTTTGGGGTAAGCTGAGCATGGTTTGAACTGTGGAAAGGTGGCATACAAATAAAATGATGTCTGTATGTCTGTCTGCTTCATTCAGCTGACTTTGGCGAGCCTTCGGGAGAAAAGGTTTGCAGCGATTGTAAGCCGTCAGTCCTGCTTGGGACTGCCAGAGACCCTTCTTTATTTTATTTTGAGGAGCATCCATTATTCAGAGAATTCTCTGGTCGCCCTATATTAGATGCCCTATATTTTTTGAGTTTCCCAGTGTAGCTAGAATTCAGTTTCAATTGCAGAGGCTTCTTTTTACAATCGGGAGTGGACATCTGTGGAAAAAAATAAGTTAATGATTTGCGGGATGTGTGTGTGAAAATGGAGTGTACCTTGTGTGCATTGGATGGGTTTTCTGAAGGACATAGGAAGACCCAATGGCCCATCTAGTCCAGCATCCTGTTCTTAACAGTGGTTCATCAGATGCTTCTGCAAAGCCCATAGCCAAGACCTGAGCTCAACAGCAACTCTCCCCACTTGGGATTCCCTGTCGACTGGTAATCAGAGGCCTCTTTCCTCCAACAGTAGTGGGAGAAGATGGTCATTGTGGCTAGTAGATTCATATCCTCTATGAATCTGTCTGATTGCTTTTCTAAGACACCTGAGTTTGTGGCCATCAGTACATCTTGCTGGGAGCAAATCCCACAGTTCTCTCTGCTGTGTGAAAAATTCCATTCTGAATCTTTATCTCCTTTCTCAGGCCCACGCCTCATTTTATACACCTCTATCAGGTGTTCCCCTGCATTCACTTTATTTGACTTCTCCCCCCCCCAAAAAAAAAGTTGTACTGTTTTTTCGCTGGTGAGTTCCAAACCGTTGATCATTTCAGTCACCCTTTTCTGAACCTTCTCCAGCTTTTTCTCTCTTGCTAGTATGTCCCTAGCCAAATCAGCAACTTTTGTTTTATTTTTTTGCTGGTGCGACATTATTTTGAGGGGCAAGGGAAATGCGGCCTCATTGCCAAATCTGGCCTTGGACAGACACGTGTCCTTCTGCCAGCTACTTGTTCCTGAGCTTTGTCAACAATGCAAGGCCCTGTTGACTCAGCCTGCGTAGTGCTGGAAGCGATGGTATCTGCTAATATTTATGCGAATGTACCTCTTTCTGCATTTTGCCCACAGGTCAGAGGTTTGCACCCTGGACTAGATAACCACCATGGTCTCTTCTGGCACGGTGATTCTATGAAGGGTGCATTGGTGTCCTCCCCCCCCCACACACACACACACTCAGCTCTCGCCTGTGGCTGCTAGAAGCTGTCAGCATGCGACAGCGGCCACCCCACCCACCAGGGAATGACTTTGACTGGCCAGCTAAACCAGGTGAGAGTAGCTGGTGGGTGAGACCAATAGTGGGTCCAACGGTGAAGAAGGTAGTTTCTGCGTGTGATGTAGAGGGAAATAAGGGACAGATAAGGCTTGTCTAGGAGAAGGGAAACTTTGACCCTAAAGCTCCGCTCCCTTGCGGGTTGTCTTTGGGAGAAGAAAAGGCTAAGGAGCAAACCCTACACAAATCCGGAGTCCCTAAGACAGTTGAACACCTTCTTCCAGCAACTCCTGCAGCCAAGCTAGTGCTCTTCTTTCCTTTGGGATCACATCATCAAGGCTGAGAGGGGTGGGTCTTGTCATCTGGGTAGCCCAGGAGTTGCAAGTCAAGGCCCTGAGTTCCCCCATAAAACATCAGTATTTTAGGTTAATGGGTGAATTAAGGTCACAACTTTATTGGTTACAGAATGTGAGTGGTATTGGCTTAGGCACAGACTATATCTGACTCCTACCTGCCATGCAGGAAGTACAGTAAGGGTCAACCACCAGTAGGGGGAGCCCTGTTAATGTACATCAACTCAGAACTCCCCCAGGGTCCTGATGTGGTCGTGGCATGGCCCTAGCCCCTACTCGGGCTTCGAACAATGTCCACACCTCTGGATCCCTGTGGGGCAGCGGTTCTCAACCTGTGGGTCCCCAGATGTTGTTGGTCTACAACTCCCATCATCCCTGAGCTCTGGCCTTGCTAGCTGGGGTGATGGGAGTTGTAGTTCAACAACATCTGGCGACCCACAGGTTGAGAAAGGCTGCTGTAGGGGAATACCCTTAAAATGGAGAGGCAGGTGATGGCCGCACCTCCCCTCCCCTTACCAATGCCTAACCGCCACTCGAGCCAAAGGCTCGCCGCCAATACCCTCACAACTGCACAACACCTAATGCCCTCAATGACATCGGCCAACCAAACATCATTTCCCTGATCGGAAAGATGTACGCCATCGTCACGGAACAAGGCCTCTTTGCCGAACATAATGGCGGGGTCACCCGGCCTTTCAGCATTTCCACCTTCCGTGTCACTGCTCGATTCACGAGTTTCCTGGCCTTATTAGTGGCAGCTGGGCAAAGACTGTCCAGGATTGCGCCCCCAGAGGTCACTTCTGTCCGGTTTCACTTCACCCCCAGAGGTGCACTCCATTCTCTCTTGAGACAGGAGGGGCGTTCGGAGGGCAAAAAGAAATTTTAAAAATGCATTGGTGTTTGTCCTTCCTTTGAAAACTGAAGGTGTAAAGTCCTTGCTTTCCATCTGTCTGTTTACCCTCTAAACATGGTTGTCCAACTCGATTGTTAAAAGACCTGAAAATGCAGCCTCGGGAGTTGGCATAGGAGTGTCTCCCTCCCTCCCCCTCTCTTTTGTACTATTTTCTGGCAACAAAAGGTGACCTCAAACCTGCCAAGGGCGTCTGCTTTGTTCTGTAAAGGTTAGGAGAATGCAAGGTGGGTAACTACAGGGAAAGAAAATGGCAGGTGGTGTTCATGGCCCTAACTCCGTGGTTAGATCATCTGCTTCACATGCAGAAGGCCTCAATTTCATTCCACAACAACTCCCAAGTAGGACTGGAAATGTCTCCCCCTAGAGAGCTATTGCTGGTCCCTGAGCTAGATGGACCAATGGCCTGACTCAGTATGAACTTCCTATGTTCCTAAAACCTGGTTAAAATTGTTGGGTTGCTGTTGTTTTTTAACAGACCCGCCAGCTACTAACCAGTCAGCGGCTCTGACTGGTTTAAAATGGCTCTGCTGTAAAAGCCTTTGGGCCTCGCCTGCCCTCCCTGCTCACATCCTTTATTTTATGGTGTTTTTATTTACATCTCAGAACAATGCAGGGCAGTTCAGCATCCCCACAACAAGCCAAAGGGACATTTCACATGCAAAGGAGTAACTAAGGGCAGTAGCTCAGGAGCAAAGTATTTGCCTTGCATGCAGAGGGTCCCGGGTTCGATCCCTGGCATCCCCAGGTATGGTGGGGAGAAACTCCTGCCTGTAACCCTGCTAAGCCTCTGCCCATCAGTGTAGGCAATACCAAGCTCAGTGGACCATAGTGGCCTGATCCTGTGGATGTAGCTTCCAGGATTCCTGCATTGCCAGGGGTTGGACAAGATGATCCTCAGGGTCCTTTCCAATTTTATGATTCTATGCTCCATCCTTAACTAAAGTCACATCCACACCATGCATTTTAAGCACATGGCTTCCCTCAGAGAACCCTGGGAATTGTGGTTTAAGGGTGCTGGGAGTTATAGCTTTGCAAGGGTGAACGGTTCTTCTCATGATTCTTAGGGGAAACCCTGTGCTTTAAATATGTGGCGCAGATGTACCCTAAGGGTGAGTCCAGGTGGTCATTCTTTGGTGTGTGATGTTCAGTTTACGCAATTAAAGTTCATTCACGCTTTTGCGTGGCAAGCCCACTCCCCCCCCCCCATACCCTGGTCTGTTTGCAGTAAGGAAAGTGGTGGGGAAAGCTTTGGGTAGCGTGGAGGTAACGATCGCTCGACACCGCATCATCAAATGATAGTTGAAAAAGACCTGCTATGGCATTACATTTTTTAATATTGTTTTGATCATACCTTGCTGCTGCAGCTATATATTTTTTTAAAGGAGGTTTATCGAGCACAGTAAAACAACAATTTTACAGGGAAAGAATAGATTTTGAACCGGTGAACAACTGTAACAAAAATGGTTTTATACAGAGGGGAACTGGAGGAGCTGTCAGAAGCCTAAGAACCAAAGTAACTTTTTAAAACAGGATGATTGCAAAGAAATAAATCTTTGCCTGGATGGCTTAGGAGCTGGGTGAGCTACAAAGTGGAACCAAACTCTCTGTAAAATATATGGCTTATCCCTGTCTAAGGCCTATCACAGAATTCCTGAAAGGCTGTGTGGTGAGAGGAAAGTACTCTGCCTGTACTCAGGTCATTTTTTTTTTTCTTTGCATATTACTACGTTTATATTACAGTGGTACCTCGGCTGTTTTGGGACTACAATTCCCATCATCCTTGACCACTGCTCCTGTTAGCTAGGGATGATGGGAGTTGCAGTCCCAAAACAGCTGAAGGGCCAAATTTGGCCATCACTGTCTAAAGGGTCAGTTTCATTTAGCCCTTAAATGAAGGCTAATGTGTCCCTGGATGATTATATTCATTTACAGTGGTACCTCGGGTTAAGTACTTATTTCATTCCGGAGGTCTGTTCTTAACCTGAAACTGTTCTTAACCTGAAGCACCACTTTAGCTAATGGGGCCTCCTGTTGCCGCTGCGCCGCCGGAGCACGATTTCTGTTCTTATCCTGAAACAAAGTTCTTAACCTGAACCACTATTTCTGGGTTAGCAGAGTCTGTAACCTGAAGCTTCTGTAATCCGAGGTACCACTGTGTCTATCTGCGGAACTTGCACTCTTCCAGGTGCCACTTAATTCCCTTTCTGTGTTTGTAAAAACCAGCCTTTTAGTGTGGCAGCACCTAAACTGTGGAACTCCCTGCCTATTGACACCACTGTGCTCTTTTTGGCGCATGCGAAAAATGTTTTTGTCCCTACAAGCCTACGCAGACATGTGGAATGTGGGTGCCTCTTTCAATCTGTCGTTTTGTATAGCGCCGATTTTATCCTTTGATTGTTGCGTAGGGTCGTTTCTGCTGGTCATCTTGCCGTTTTAGTCTCTCTGCAAACCGCTTTGTGCGGCTTCCCTCCCCAATCAGGCGGTGTATAAATCTTGTGGAATGCATGAAATGAAAACAGGCCTCTTTTGGGAAGCGGGTGGGAGGGGCCAAGTGCCCAAGAGGCGTGGCTAGAGGAGAGGGAAGGGGTGGGGCCATAAGACAAGCACCACCCTCCGTCCTGATCTCTCCTCTTCAACCGCTGCTTGAAAAAGGCAAGCAAAACAGAGACGCGTCTGCCAGGAAAAGGGTCTGGATAATCGAGCTCTTCCATCTATGGTCTCTGAAGGGAGCATGTGCCTCCTTACTGGGTCCAGCCTCCTTTGCAAAAAAAAAAGAGCAAAGGCTTATTGGCTTGCATGTTTGTGTGTTTGTGTTTAAAGGGCAAGTGACTGCTGCGTTTCTCCTCCTCTTCCCCCTTGCCTCCAGTCATTCAGCTAAAAAGGAGAGGGAGAAGGCATCTGTATTATGATTTCCCCCCCTCTTAAAGCAGCTTCTCCTCCTGGAAAAAGGAGGGTTCCCCACCCCCCACCCCAAGCTCCCTTCTTGCAATTGCCGAACGGATTTTGATGCATCCGTGACACTTCTCTTCCTGACAAGCAGCAGCAGCAGCAAACAGGAGGAAGGAGAGAGCTGGGGATCCGGAGAAGACAGGGTGGCTTGGGTGGATGCCAGCGACCAACCAGGAGGACTCGGCGGAGCCTTTAAAATTGCGTTGAGGGTCTCTCACACCGCCAGCCTCTCTGTTTATCTCACGACACCTTTGCTGGGTCTAGCCCAGAAGTCTGGCAGCTCTTAATGCGGCCCCAGGGAAATAATCCGAATTTGAGGGACTGGACGGCGTCTGATAGCAGCTGCTGAGCGTTCTCTAGAGACCTCGAAACCACCACCTCGAGGCACCATCTCACCCACCCATTCTGTTGCAACCTGCTTGTGTCAGCCTTGGCTGTAAGCTTCCAGAAGAACACTCTGGTACCCAAATGGTACTATAAACAAAACCTCAGAATCTTGCTACCCATCCTCTAGTTACTTTGGAAATTGCATCTTTTTTTTCCTCCCTATTTTTTTTAAAAAGAAGTGCATTTTTTTATTTTTCACGTGGGCCTCTTAAAGGATGTTGTTGCTGTTTTTTCTGTCTTGATTTGTTTCCATAATTTCCTGCCCCTTTGCAGTTCTAGTCCCGCAAGGATTTTGGGGAGATACTTTTTGGAGAATGGGGTGCAAAATGGACACACTATGAATGGGGATTTTGTGGCTAATTCCTTGGGCGTGAATTGTGGTGCCATTGGAGAGACCATAGAGATAAACTCCAAACCATCAGTGAGGAGACAGTTTAAATATAGGCGCCATAGTGAAGCAGCACCTGCTGTCCTGCTAACAGATAAACTTCCAGATGTTATTGCTTCGGCTTTTTCCTAGTACTCTGCTGAAGATACCTCCCGACTGATCGTGCAGGTGAGAACGTACGTGTAGTGGTTCTAGGGGTTGCTCGTGCGTAAGCCGGTGCAAACACCTGGCTGGGTTGCCTGAGTGAACCTTTTCTGTCCGGACAGCCACTCACCCGTGGCTGTCTCAATCGCTGGCAGAATCCGTCAGTGGGCGTTTCTTAAGCTTCTTCCAGCAAAGAAGCTCTTTGACGCCTAGTCTCCTCCTACTCTCTCTGCGCGAAAGCCTTCTGCGCAAGGAGGGCGTAGGCAGCGGAGGACCTCTACTCCCCCTGCTGGTCCCCGGCAAGGAGTCATGGGACCGCCTCGCCGCTTCCCCCATCTGCCCCCCTTCTCCACTGGTGCTACGCTGATTCTCTTCCCCAGAAGATGGGCTGCCTCTCCCAACCCCGGGACGCTCTCTGGAATCCCTCTGGATTTTGCTCTCTCCCTCCGGCACTGATGGCAGTTCCCTGACAGTACGTATTTCATGATTCCACAGGAGCTCAGGGGTGAAGCCTGGAATGCCGCTCCTAGGGAATCTCAGCCTTCATTTTTAAAAGCATCCGCCAAGTTTCTAGCCCTTATTGTTGCAGAGGACAATGGCAGGTGCAATCTCGAAAGCAGGAAATTTTTCGTTTTGTTTCATTTATTTGATTCACAGCATTTACGTGCCACTCGATTGTAACAAAGCCTCTAAGCAGTTTACAAAAACTTTTAGAAAATTGAAGTGGTTAGAAAAAGACAGTTTTTTTTAAAAAACAGGTGTTAATTAAAATTGACAAATTAAAACCCATGCCCACATTCTACCTGTCTGGAGAGCCTTGCTGAACAAAAATGTTTTAGGCAAGCACTGAAAAGAGTTCATTGAAGGCGTCTGCCTAATGTCAATAGGCAGGGAGTTCCAAAGTGCATGTGCAGCCATACTAAAAATCAGTGTCACTTCCTGGTGTGCATACCTTCTTCTCCCCCTCCCCATCCCAACTCATGCCCATCATGACTAGCAAAAACATAATTAGCTACACCAGGTAAGAGATATAAGTTGCTTTAATTTGTGCAGTTTATGCTGGTGTTAATTTTGCATTGATTCCCACAGGAATTGGGTTTTTTGCTTGGCACCGAATTCACTGAGGTAGCACATGGTGTTTATGGTACTGCTGTGTGTGACGTTTGTGCCCTAGGGATGGTGTTGAAATGCAGGTTGCTTGGACCTGAGCATGGTCAGTGGTGGTCAAGAATGCCCAGAGTCGTAGTACAACAACATCTGGAAGGCACCATGTTGTTCATCGCTGGCAGATGGCTTTGAAGGACCTTACCAGAGGTGCCTTTTATTTCTGTTGCTGTGACGGGCGAAACATCTTCGGGTCTGTGACTTTACTCTCTCCCCCATTTCCCTGCCATTTCTCTGTTAAAAATCCAGCATGTGACTTGACCGATAAAATATTCTGGGATGTCCCAATTCTTGCTCATCTGGCTCGGTGTCACTTGGCAGCAGTTCTCTAGGACAGGGGCAGTGTTAGAAACTCAGATATATAAGCTAGGCACCAAATGGCTCCTTAAACCAGGGTTGCGGTTGCCAAAACGGAATGCCTAGTTGCCATTTCGGGACCAGACGGCTCAGCAGCTGCATTTCTCAATACGGGTTCTTTGTTCCTGAACTTCATTCTGATTGTGCAGTTAAAATATAACAGGTAGAATTCTACAGGGTGTGTTGCTAGTGTGTGAAAACAGTCAAGATCCAAGGATCCCTAGGCATGCACCTCCAGGTGGAGGAGACATCAGGCGCCATCCTGATCCCCGGGCATCAGGTCGTAAGTGGCCAATAAAGGTAAAGGGACCCCTGACCGTTAGCTCCAGTTGTGGCCGACTCTGGGGTTGCAGCG